TTAATTTCCAAACATGTTCCTTTTTCCCTTTCAGTAGAACTTTCAGTTACTCATTTGCTCAAGTTTCAATCATGGATGTTACCCTTGATTCCATTTTCTTTTTTACCACCCCTCTCCAAATCTAATTATTTTTCAAGATGCTTTGATTTGCCTTAATATAGTTATTATGGTTTAATAAAGCTTTAATCTTTTTCCCCCTCTCTATAGCCCCACTGCTACTACCTTAGTGCAGATAATCACCATCTTTTATCTGAATTACTGTACAAGCCCCTCCTCTACCCTCCCCCCTCCAAGTGCACACATGCACTTGTAACCGCAGTTGTCCTCCAGAAATCTGATCATGTCATTTTCCTGATTAAGTTGTTCTCCATATCTCTCAGGATAAAGTTTAAACTTCTTGATGCCTTGTAAGTCTTCAAGGTCTGATAGCTTCCTATGTTGCTGACCTTTGTTTCTACTCCTTTCCTGAATCTCTAAATTCTGGCCATACTGAATTACTTTTAGTTCCTGCGATGTATGATGCTTTTTTTTGTCTCTCTCCTCCCATGGCATCTACTGCTATTTTCAGCTGGTTCAGCTGCCTAGCTCCAGTGTGTTCATCAGATCCCACCTCATATAGCACTTCTAAAAGTTTTTTTTTTTTTCGGGGGGGGGGGCATTCATTTAAAGTCTGTGACTATAGCATGTAACATGCTGTATAGTAATTGCCTAATTATGGAAATATGCCCCTTGAAAAGTATTCCATCAGGTCAAAGACTCTGTATGGACAGGAACTATTTTGTCCCCAGCAACGAGCATATTGTGACATAGGCATTTGGTCAGTATTTGTTAGATTAATTGATATTTCTGTAGATGACCTTGCCTCATGTTTTCCTGAGAGGCTACAGACCTTCTGATGTAACTCCCTGAACTTCTTGTTTTCCCACCAGTCTTAACTTTTTATCTTTATCCTTTTACCCTCTTTTCCTACCACTGCTTGGCAAGATAAATGCTTAACTAAAATACAAAGTAGGAAATATAAATGCAGTAGGGGTAGAGGCATAATATCTTTCAGAAAGTTTACTGGTGAAAAAGAAGGTGATAGAACATTAGGTAGAAACAATATCCAAGTTATTTTGAAGGATAGGAAGAAACGAAATATTTGTAGGCTGAAGAAAGAATATAGTGAAGAATACAATCAAGGCAGGATTAGAGAAAGGACAACTGATGATGCCAGAGCTCTATCTCAGGAGGGAGGTAAGGGACAGGATTCTTTGACTTTTCTTCTGCTTCTTACAGCCTCAGGGCCGTGGACCAACTCCTCAGTATGGTCGGCTAGGTCTGTGCAGTGGCATCACTGTTTTGGCCTCTTCCATGCCAAAGAACCCTCAGTTTTCCAGTAAAAGCACCTTAATTTCTCTTGAGGAACAAGCCCTCTCCAACTCCTGGTCCAGCTGGCAATGTTTGCTAGTATCCTTGGTCCTTAACTAAAGAGATCATCTTTTACCACATGGATTTCTTTGTGTTTATGTTGGTTATTTCCATGCATGGTTCATGAAAGTACTTAATATCTGATATTAAGTTTTTAAAAAACTCTTTTCAAGAATCTTTAAAAGACTGATTAAAAACTAAACACGCAAATGTACTGAAAACCAAATTTTATCATGCTGAAGGTTATCAGGTTGCATTGCCAGGTTATTTAGTTTAATACAAATTTGAGAAAAATGTCCTCCCTAGGCATTTACAGGCATTTTTTTTAATGTCGTTGGTTAGGAAAGATAAAGTTCTGCATTAACCTTTAAGAAAATTTTTAATCTGTATATTTGTACTTACTTAAATTAGCTTAAGTTATTCTGTTATAATGCTACATTTTTCTAAGTATAAACTCAAACATGCTCTAAGATAAGTAAACATCTGCTCCTCATGGAACATGTTCACAGTGAGCTCTTCTCATTGTATAGTTATAATAAATGCATAGTAACAACTTGAATGGGCATCACATAGGATCATAATAATAATACACTGTCATTTTAATTTTTACTAGATTAAGGAGTTGCTTCTCTGACTTTTACATTTCTGGTAGTTATTATAAATATAGCTTTTGTGCATCATATATAACGTATACATACTGTCTATGTATGCATGCATGTGCATGCATATGTGTATTTGTGTTGTATGTTATGTATATTCCACTGCTAAAGGGCATAAAAACTAAAACTACTGATCTAAATAAACCACTCAATTTAGTAAACTTGTTGCTAAATCTACTGACCACTGCTTCTTTAATACTTTCTACTTTCTGACCTATTTAGTTTTTGATAGTTGTTGACTACCTTCCTTAAAACTCTCTTCCCATGTTTATTTCTACCCCTCAGGGTGTGATAACTCTGCTGCACTTTTTCCTAGGCAGGCCTGGTTTTAACAATAACAGTCACTTTCTGTTGTAAACAGTCACTTTGACCCCTGATGATAGCTGGATGTTTTTAGGTCTGTAAGCTTATGTGCATTGATCTCAAGTTTAATTTTAATTTTATTAATTGGTGAAATCAGAAAAAAAAATACAAAATAAAACCAAAGGTTGATAATGCTTCAGAGAAACTTATACATGTATCCCTTATGCCACTAAAATGGATAAAGTGGTTGAGATAGCAAACTGATGTTATGCATCAAGAGACCTAAAAATGTTCATGCCTTTTAATCCAGTAATCTTACTTTGTAAGATAAATCCCAAGAAAGAAATTTAGAAAAGAATAATTAAATCTGACCTCAGGATTGTGGTGGATAATATAGCATTCTCCTAGTTCTGTGGGCAAAAATCATTAACAAAAACAAAGTCCCCTTTCTCCCAGATCCATGCAAGTTCATTAAGAAAAAGTAACCTTTTCTGATATTAACAAACAAAACCTTTTCTTTTTTGGATTCATTTTCTGACTTTTTCTTGTTTCTTTTCCTCTTGCCTCATAAATGTAGGTGATGCCGAGCAATCTGCCTTTCACGCACATCTCCTCATGATTGGCAATTTTAATTGATCTCATGGTTTCTATTGTTTTTATGTACATCTCTCTGAAATCTAAAATTCCAGTCCTAACCTCTTTCCAGAGCACCATTTGAGATGCTTTCATTCCATCTGCTCCCTTTTTGGCTCTTGAATGGCCTGTCCTGTGTCTCAACTCTTTATAATATCTAGAAATAAAAATCTATCATATATTTTCCCTCCTAAAAATTATTTTTCATTTGTATTCTGTTAACTCATCTTGAAATCTTTAGCATTAAATTATCCCTCTTTTTTACTCTACCTTCAACATCGTCAGCGTGGAACTTCAGTATCACTCTGGTGTGTCTTTATCTTCTGCATGTGGCTATCCTAGTTTAAAATTGTTTTTTTTGTTAAGAATGTTTAGGATAGGTCCTTAATTGATCTCCCTGCATTCTCTCTTTTCTCTACATGAATCTTGTCAGAGAAGTCTTCCTGAAGCACAGTTTAGACCATAGCACTTTTCAGGTTAAAATCTTCGAAGACTTCTTGTTATGAGGAAAGAGGTTCTTGAACTCCATCATCTAGTCTTCAGTGTCCCCCACTATATAGTTTCAACTAACTTTCCATTTTTTATTTTTCTCTTATTCCTTCTTATTGTCATCTGAGCTTTTCATAATTTTTGGCTTCTACCTGACCATATCCCTGTTTTCATATTTCCAGATTTCATCTGTGCTTTAGACGTTGGCTTTCAGATGTGCCTTCCAGCTGGAAGTAATCTTTTTTTTCCTGGGAACTCCCAAAAGCTTTTTCTCTTTGTTACTGTGCTTAGCATCCCTTCCATTGTACCATGATTATTTATGTACACATTACTAGTAGTTTTTAAGTTCTTTAAAGTTTGTATTCATGTCTTCTTCTTCTATTTCCTGTGTATATTATCTGATATATGGTTCTTAATGGGTATTTATTAAGTAAATAATATGTAAAGAATTGTCTTATTTTGGGAAGGGTGTTTCTTTGTTGAGAAAAAGGAACAAAACTTTGAAGATACTTCATTCATGAATCAAAGACAGAAAAAAACCTTATGTTCCTAAAGGACCTTCAGAAATATTTTTGGAAGTAATAAATAAAGCAAATAAATTTGCTAAAAAGATATATAGATGAGACCTTGGGTCACTAATTCAAACCATTTTCAGTCAGATGAAACCTAATTTTTTTTTTTTTTTTAATAGGAGGTTCCAGAAGCTAGCAGAGTTTTTGGTTTTGTTTGTTTGTTTGTTTGTTGTTGCTTTTTTTTTTTTTTAAGTTTATTCAGAGAGAAACAGAGAGAGTGTAAGCAGGGGAGGGGCAAAGAGAGAGGGGGACAAAGGGCCCAAAGCGGGCTCTGTGTTGACAGCAGAGAGCCTGATGCAGGGCTTGAACTCACAAACCTGAGTGACCTGATCATGACCTGAGCTGAAACTAAGAATCAGACGCTTAATAGACTGAGCCACCCAGGTGCCCCAAACCTAATTTTTATTTTTATTTTTATTTATTTATTTAAAAAAAATTTTTTTTTTCAACGTTTATTTATTTTTGGGACAGAGAGAGACAGAGCATGAACAGGGGAGGGGCATAGAGAGAGGGAGACACAGAATCGGAAACAGGCTCCAGGCTCTGAGCCATCAGCCCAGAGCCCGACGCGGGGCTCGAACTCCCGGACCACGAGATCGTGACCTGGCTGAAGTCGGACGCTTAACCGACTGCGCCACCCAGGCGCCCCCCAAACCTAATTTTTAAAGTCATTTAAATAGAAGATAGATTTAACAGTATGTTCAGTCATTTAAATAATTATGTATACAAGCAGAAACATTTTTTCTTTAGTACTTTTATAATATGCAGCTCATTTTATGTACTCTGATTTACTTCTTGATAGAATTTTTAAAGGATCTTCTTTCTAGATTCTTAAATGATTATATTCCTCTTCTTGCACTTTTTATTGCTTTATTTATTTATTTGGTCCTTTGTCTTCACAGAACTTACATTTAGAAAATGCTCTGTTTTGCAGGTATCCTGGTCAGATATAGGAGGACTGGAAAATATCAAACTAAAATTGAAACAGGCTGTGGAATGGCCTTTGAAACATCCAGAGTCTTTCATTCGAATGGGTATTCAACCACCTAAAGGAGTTCTTCTGTATGGGCCACCTGGATGCTCTAAAACAATGATTGCAAAGGCTTTAGCCAATGAGAGTGGCCTGAATTTCCTAGCTATAAAGGTAAGGTGTTAAATTTTTAGATTGCTACTTTCTTTTCCAGCCCCACTAACACCAATCCTCTGATTCTTGTCCTTAGAAAAATATGAAAAGACATCTTAAGGAGTTGATTTTTTTGTTTTGTTTTGTTTTTGAAGTTGATGGTAATATAATACAGGGAGATGAGCTCTAACTAAATTAGTGCATGTAATCAGCAAAACATGGTGGACAATAGAAGACAACTTTAGTTTTGTTATTATCAGTATCTATTATATCTATGTGTAATAGAAACCAGTCTTGTTTAAGTTCTACATTTTTTAATTGCGTTAATCTCTTTTGCTTAACCAGGACTTAATTATAAATATAGTATTTGTATATGTAGAATTTTCAAAGAATTCAGATACTTTAAATGGTAAAACTAAATTCCTTAAAAATGCTTTTCCAGTCTGGGAATAATTGTACAATGTTTATTTTCTGAAATACACACATACATTATCTGTTCATTGCTCTACCCTATTACTTGGGATAGATAATCTTACTTGACATGTAGTTTTACATTTACTTTAGGGCTGGATATAATTTTGTTATTAACTTTTATATAATATCATATATCCAGTTACGAAATATACATACATAAAACCTAAAATTCTTTAGTAGAATGGACTTTATCACAAAAGTATGTACTTCAGTCTGTTAAATATCAAATTCATTTCGTAAGAAGCACCTGATAAAAGGCTCCGTTTTGATAGTACCAGGGATTTTTTTTCATAACAAAATATGTTTCCTATCTTAGAACATTAAACTCCTTGGCAGTTTCAGAGCATAAAATTTATTTCAGAATAGAGAGTTTTTTACCTAAAATTTTTTTGGAAATGTTTAGATATATTTAGGTTCTTTGCTTTTTAAGAATCAGTGTGTGTACAATCAGTACTATTTGCATAGTTTTGATTGTCTTTTTGTGGAAGATATTGGATACTGAAGATACGGGGAGGGAACAATTTTCACTCTCATCAGTGATACTGAATCCAAACTACAGTTTTAAAGTTTGCAGGTTTAAATGTTGGAATAATGAGTGATTTTGAAATTTCAGAGACCTCTTGATTTCTCTTTGGTCCCGGTCCTCTTATCTCATGGTAATGAACATGGCCATTTTACTGGCATTTCCTACTTGTTTTACTGTCATCTGCATTTTTCTGTGCCTACCTTGTTGTGTATTTCACAACTGTATATTCGTAATCTTTGAATTTTTTATGTCTACTAGATATCTGAAACTTATTTGATGAGGCCTTCACTCACAGTTATTTACACTTGAATCTCAAAAAGGAACACATGTATTTTCCTACAAACTAATATCTCATGTGATCTAAGAGAACTTTTCCAGATGTTACCAGGACTGCTCTCTGGCCTATCGTAGAATTACTTCGAAATACATATATTACTGTTTTTAAGTATGAAAACTTTCATGACTTTAGACAGTTTTACTTTTACCTTTTTTTCATTGTGAGAAAATGATAAAAAGATTCTTTGAAAGGTTTGTCTTGGACACTGTTCATGTAAAATAACCATGAATATGTTAACTTATTTGAGTTTTTTTCATTAAACTCATGTTCATTTTTCTTTCAGGTCACACACACAAATGATAAGTGATGTTAAGAAATTTTCTTATTCAACTGAGTTCATACTTGCTTAGATATAATTATATATCCTACTTACTAATTTTTATTTAACTTTTTTTGTGTGTGTGAGAAAGTGTGTGCATGAGTGGGGGAGGGGCAGAGGGAGAGGGAGAGAGAAAATTTTAAGCAGGCTCTATGCCCAGCACAGAGATCATGACCTGAGCCAAAATCAAGAGTCAGACACTCAGCTGAGCCACCTAAGCGCCCCTACCATGGATTTTTATTCAATATACAATTTAGTATAATTTGGCAGTATTATTCAGTTTTTGAATCTGGGTGGAGAATATATTTAATGAACAATGAATGTTCATTTTACTATTTTTTAAGTTTTCCTACATGTTTATTAAAAGTTTCCAAAAGAAAAAGTTGGGCACATGAAAAAATTATTTGTTTTTCTTGGCATTTTCATTGGTCTTTTCATCTTGGTCTGATTATTGCTTGTGAGAAGAGTTTAAAGTACCTATATCATATAGCTTATGTATGCAGAAATGAAGTCAAAGAAGTTGGGAATTTATATTCTATTCTTTCTAGTTTTACTTTTCTATGAAGAAAGTTGGCTTTTGGTCACAACATATATATTTTTTTTCCAAGGGATCTAAGTGTCAAAATTAAATTTGAGCTTTTGGAATAACAAGTCTTACACATTTTGAAAGTGATCAGAAAAATGTAGATAGACAATGAAATTTTCTAGCCAATTGGAAAATACGGGTATCTTACATATATTGAAGGAGAAACTCCCTAACATTTTTTTTATAATTGTAATTACCTTTAATTCCCAAAATAAAGATTTTAAAGACTTTAAACATTTCTTTCTCTGAGTTTATGAAAGAACCCTTTAGCTTCCCCTGTGTATCTTTTCTAAACAGTGATTGAAGATGTAAACTCTACTCATAGTTGAGACTTCACCTTGGCTGGTGTGAACTCTTAATATCCTTTGGCATCTGTATGTGTTCTTGTGTAGACTGTAGCACTTGACATGTGCTTAAGTTTAGTTTGTCATCTGGGTCAATTATATCAAAATATTTTCCAGTTGAAATTTCCTCTCTGCTTCCCTTTTGGTTTTGTCTGGAGTGCTGTAATAGATTAATTGCCCTTGTGTAGTTGGGCTGCTTTAGTTTATGAAGAACTGTTACTGATCCTGGAAGAAGGGTGGTTAGGCCTCTGACAGGGATTTTCAGCAAGTCCTTTATTAGCTGTTATTGGTCAGTATAAGAATATAATGAGCTTAGTGTAGGCTTGACTTTTTTGGGGAAATTTTCTTCTGATACTTGTCTCAGGGAGGAATTGTACAAAATACATCTCATTTTCAGGACACTCTGTATTTTATTTAAAGCATGCACAATTCAAAGTACTTAACTATTTTTTATGTAGCTTGATCCCCTACTGTTCTATTATCAAAGGTACAAAATAATCAGTTTGGTAAGTTCCAAGTTTATCTTTCAGCTTTTACTTTTAAATTATGTGGGCTGGTTTAGAAATCATAGAGTTTCTCTTTTGCAGATACTGTGTGGAAGACTGCATAGATACACCTCTTTTATATACTGAATGCTTTAAGATTAGTTTCCAGGATTACAAATAAGTATAATAATGTTTAAGAAAGTGAAATGCCTTTTCCAAGGTCAGAGTTGTAGTGATGGTACTGAAATTTGATCAGAGGACTTTCTGACTGCAGAGTCTAAGCTCTGACCCATCATATTATACAACCTTCCATTTTACTTTTTTTTTTTTTTTTAATTTAGCGTCTAGTGCTTTTTTCATTAATTACATCATGTTACTGGCAGAGGTAGTTCAGGCAGTTTCTATAGGGTAGGTTCACAGAAGTGTAAAGATGTTTCTGGGACATAGTTCAAAAAAATTTGTTTCTGCAGGACAAAGAAAACTGAGAAAAATAACATGGCTTTAGAGTAGAAGTTAGTTAAATTAATAAGAAAGAGTAATCACTGCCAGAGAAACAGGAACCTGATGAATAAAATAGAAGTTGATAGAGCATGTGACTCTTAATTTTAGGATCGTGAGTTTGAGCCCCACATTAGGCATGGAGCATACTTAGAAAAAGAAAAAATAAAAGAAGTATATGGAAGGAGACTAGTGGTTGAATAATGTGGAGTTTGAAATTTACATATTACTATATAATTTGTGCTCTTGAAATTGTATTACAATGAAAAGAGCACTAAGCTAGGACTCAGTTTTGTTTGATTTCTAACCCTTGCACTTTTTAGTTCTGTAGCCTTAAATAAGTTCTCTTGGTCTCAGTTCTGTTTGTTTTATCTGTATACGCTCTTTGAGAGGATTAGGATATTAAGAAGTAAGTGAAGAAACTTTGGAGGGCATAACAACTCAATTCCTTATGTGTGGACTATAGATACTTATGACTTCTATATTAAAGGGTTCAATATAGAAAAGGGGGTAGGGAAGAGCTACTTCATAGTGGAGACCCCTGACAAATGCTACCTCAGCCAGGTGATTAGTCATGTTGATAGTGTGACAAGAATGGCACTTTATTTCTGTGGTCTTTCTCCCAAACACTCATAATCTGTGTCTGAGAAAAACAGGCAGAACCAAATTGAAAGATGTTCTATAAAATATCTGATCAGTACTCCTGAAACTGTCAAGGCCATTAAAAGTAAGGAAAGTCTGGGAAACTCACAGCAAAGAGGAGCCCGAGGAGACATGATAGCTAAGTATAATGTTATGGTGGTTTTCTGGATGAGATCCTAGAGCAGAAACAGGACATTAGATAAAAACTAAGGAAATCTGAATAAACTATGGACTTTAGTGAACTATTATTGATATATTATTATTAACTGGTTATAACAAATGTACTGTACTATTATATGATATTAATAATAAGGGAAACTAAGTGTGCAGTGGGGGATTATGGGGTGGTGTATGTAGGAACTCAGTACTATCTTAATTGTTCTGTAAATCCTAAACTTTACCAGAAAAGGTCTATTAATTAAATAAAGAGTTTTATGGTCAGAATCACAGACACATTACAGACATTTAATGAATATAACTGAAGTTAAAAAGACTGGCTTATAGTTCTGTGTACTGCATTATAGAGAAAGAGTGGAATATATGGAAGGAGAAAAATCATGGGGGAGGTTGTCAGGTCCTAGGGTAAGGGCTTTGGGGGAGACCTTCTTTCCTATTCGTCATCCCCCTGTTCATAGTGATAATGGAAAGTTCCTGGGAAAATAAAGCCCTGAGAGGAAATTGGCTGGGGAATCTGGGTTTGGGACTTCCCTGAGCTTGCCTATTTCACTGCATTTCTCAGTTGAAGCCTATAAAGGAGTATGTTGGTTCTGGCCCCAGACCCACACCCCAACATTATAAAGAATACTTTCT